TCTAATGGGGGTGGGAGGGCACTCTTTGTTTCTCCTTGTTTTTTGTCTGTGGTAGGATAGTGGTCAACGAACTGACCTTTTTCAGGAGCCTCTAAAATGTGCGCGTTGCTAAAGTGGCGGAGAAAGGGATTATGGGAAGGAGGAAGACGAGGAGACGATTGACTGTGTTCCTCCCTCATTGTTGCTCTTTCTATCACTCTTCGCGCTCTATGTCGGTTACCCTCGCTCTCAAGGAGAATGGGGACGAGGTAGACCCCTGACCCTCTCTGCAGTTGTACCCCAGGCTTCTGCCTTCTACAGGGGTATGCCTCAAATCCTAGTGTAAGTCAAAATTCGTCCATTTCACGACCTTGTCATAGACAACCAATTTAGTCGGCCTTATGACTCAACTTGAAAAAGCCAAACACGGGTTGGGAAAGCGGAAAAACGGAGAACAGAAACGAAAGAAAAATGAAGAAGACGAGGAACCAAAAACGAAGGTCGGAATGAAATTAATAAAAATAATGAACGAGAAACGAACAGAAAAGTGAAAACTGGGAACGAAAAACGGGAAAGGGAAAGTGGGGAATTAAATAGTAAATGAAAAGCGAGAAACTAGAAAATCGGGGAAAATGCACAAGAGAACGAAGAACAGTTCAGGAACTTTGCTTTCATTGTTAAGGAGCATGGCATGGATCAAGAAATAGCACACAACAAAGTAACGTAGTCATGTGATAAAATCTTGATAAGGCCACAGTGTTCATCTTATGCTGTGCTTTTTATTTGAATATACGATTTGGATAAGATATCACTCGGAACCCACAAATCAGCCCAAAACTGCAAATTGGCGTTTGAACAGCATGTAAAGTATATCCCCCTTGATTTCGTGTCGTCTTGATTTTGATTTTGACATGATTCCGACTCAACTCACGTAGCAAGCGGAATGAGACATCTTATCTGGTAGCGATGTATCCTTCGTGGTCGACTTACTTCCCAAGGATAAGCTTCTGCGAGAAAATTACTTTGGGAGAAGGCATTAAAGATTAACTAAGGCCCTGAGACGAACTTTTTTCGGCTTCTACCGATAAAGTTCTTCTGGTACAAGTAAACCTTTACTGTCATGCATTTTCTCGATGAATATGTGGTGAAAACTTTTTAGAGATCGATTGAAAGATTTTGACTTACGGTGGCATGATTCGCAAAGAAGAAGTTTGTCTTCAGCGAAGGAAAATTGATTATTTCCCTATCACTTATGAAGACCCCTCCTTAAAAGCGAAAAATTATCAGATGTCTAAAACCGCAACGCTAAAAAAGGATGTACCCAACTCCGCACTCAGATTATATCACTTAGGGAAAAACAAGTACAGTTGTTTTATTATTTTTCCTCCCGGCTGAAAGCGACTTATTGTAGCATCTCTGGCACAAGGGACCAACTTATCTTGATCCAAATTCTATACTGTATATATATATTGGTAATTAGTGCAATAAATCTATTATCTCCTTACAACAATTGAGTTATGTGCATGCATTGTGTTTTCGATTTTTCTCAGCGTGGGCTCCTCGATGGTATCCTATCCGCATCTGTTCAGCATGTTTTGCTTTTTCACCGAGAGTTGTATTTTGTCTTGAAAATTCACAGCTCTATTGTTGTCTACGGCTTTGTAATCTTTGTTGTAGCAGTTGACTTAGTAAAAAGAAGGACAAAGCCGTTTACAAAACCAGTAACGCAAAACATACGCAAAACGTTTCTTGGACGTTTACATGAAGAATGAAACATTTAGTTAGATTCTCCCCATGCAGGATTTAATTGGGCAAAATTTTATTGAATTCGGATTACCTTCATTAAAAACCCGTAGTTTAAAAAAAAAGTCAAAGTTACGATCTCGTGTCTTGGGAATGTAAACAGAAAGATGACGATAATGCAGCGGAGAAGCAAACTCGTTAAGCAACAAATGCATTGTGAGTGAAATACTAAGTTGTTTCCTGTGTGCAAAATAATTTGAACCTGGAAGGAATTACGTCGGATGTAATAATTGAAATAATCCGGCTCAGAAAATTCGTATTGTGCTTTCAATCAAAATTGTATTATTCAAGTGAATAAAGGGGGTAAGTTTCTAAAAGAAACTGTGGTGCTGCGTCGGTGGGGGTAAAAAGGTAATTTTGGTTTTATCAACTGAGTTGATAAAGCAAATTGGCCATCGTAAGGAATTTCAAGGCTGACGTTTCGAGTGTTAGCCCTTCCTCGGAGCGAAAGTCTTGGTAGCTTTGAAATTAAATTTGGAAATAAGGTGGCTGATGTTCTCTGATGCGAACCACAGTACGAAGGATAGCAAAGTCGCCCATAGCTTCGCATTTTGTAACACTCGAAGTGATTCGCTCAAAATTAGCTTGGTTAAACTGATTAGACGAGCTCCTACCGCCAAGAGTGCCTTCTTGAGTTACCATGATAAAGCGCTTGTCTTGAAAATGGACGAGAAACTCAAGTAATTCGCTGAGACGTTTTTCCTCGAGGACAAGAGATTTCAACTCGCCACCAGTGGCAATTGACTAAATAAAAGAATTGAATTAAACTTGATAAAATCTCCGCTGTTATCCATGTACAGCATTCGCTTTTTCCAGTAGCGCCTGAGACACTTCATCCTGACATCGCAGACGTACAGTTTGGCTTCTGTAGTGAACTTGATCGTCTTCTCGGGCATCTTCGCCCCTTTGCGCTTTAATCTCCAACATCTCCGCATAATAACGCTGCCAGGATTTGCGAAATTCCGTGAACAACACAGGGGTAAAACAAAACATGGCCAAAGTGCCCCCGATACAACAAAATGTGCCCACCAGCTTTCCTACCGCTGAGGTCGGGACGAAGTCACCGTACCCTACACTTGAAAGGGTTATAATTGTGAACCAGAATGTCGCTGGAATACTAGTAAATTGAGAGCTTTCCCCTTCGCCCTCGGAAAAATACACGAAGCTAGAAAAAAATATAGTGTTGAACACTATGCATAACATAAACAAGCTCATATGCTCGCGACTGTCCACAATGGTTTCAAACAGAAGTCGTATGCCGACGCTATATCTTTTAAGTTTCAGTAGCCTCGCTAAGCGAAGACAACGCAGAATCCGATCAGGTACCACGTAGCTTGCATCTTGACCCGTAACGCTCGTAACGATGATTTTCACGTACAACGGCGACAAGGCAGTAATTTCCACTAAAAAACTAAAGGAGAGCACGAATTGCGCGATCTTTGGCGCGCACACTGAACGAAGAATCAACTCCACAGTAAACCATATTGTAAAGACAACTTCAACAGACGACCAAACAATATCGTAATCTACAGCTGGCATTGTTGAATTCCCTTTCTGATTCTGAAGATGGTCCGATTTCTCTGGTAGATTTGGCAGTGACTCCAGGCACAAAGAAACTAGCGATAAAACGGTCAATATCAACGAAAACTTTGTGTACAATCTCTCCGCCGGAGTAATTGGTTGTTCAAAAAAACGCCACACGTTTCTTCTCGTCCTCTTGAACTTTCGCAAGCACGGCAAACTTTCGGCCGCTTTCCGTCTTGCTGCTGCAGCGAGTTCTGAATCGAGTTCTTCATCGGAATCTTCGTAAAAGCCATCGAGTTGGAAGAACTTTAACTCCGACGAAAATATCTCGTACGAAACAGTTTCCGGCTTGGAGAGGATTCCATTTGATTGATAATAAAAAAGTATTGAGTTAAAAACTGCCTTATCTCTATCAAAATAATATTCTCGCCGAATCGGATTGTAAAAGCGGCTTCTTTTAGCTTGAGACCCCAGTAAGGTCCTCGGGAAGCGAGACAAAGTGTGTTCATATGTTTCGAACATCTCGCCGCGAACGTTGATCTGAACTTTTTGTCGACGCACACCATTTTGCCCGTTTTCTGCTCTCGAATTTTCCAGTGCAGTACGTTTAGAGCGCATTGACATCCTCTGACAATGTTAATGGGACGGTCCTAAGTCCGGCTGTTACAAATCAAAGGCTTATTTTTTCTCAAAGGGATACGCTATAGCTGATAACAATGATAGCCAGGCGCATACCCTCTAACCGTCTGACGTTGTTTCACCAAAGTCTCAATTATCCTTAACAACCGAGTTTGCAAAGTTATGACTCTTTTTGTAAGTCAATTTGAGTTTATATTTGTTGAATACGATAAATAATTAAGTGGAGAGCGAGCATTTATTTGAAATGGCCAGATGTTTTGGCCGGACTTTCGAACGACCTGCGGCATAAAAGCAAACTGTTATTGCTCTCGAAATCATAACCGCATAATCGGATAAACCTACTCTGAAAAATGCCGAGATTCCATCGAAGAATTCTGACGCGACATCTCCTAGCGGTAACGCAAACAGGTCACGATTTGTTTTGAAAATTTTTTGTGTTATTTTCTCATTCCCTGACAGGAAGACCTCGAGAGTAAAATATTAAATTATGCATTGTAAACAAATATCTATCAACCCCCTATAGCGAGTTCAAACTATTTCGCGTTAAAACTATTACAAAATCCCAGAAAGTCAAAAAATGAAAATCAGGCATTTCAGATTAGTTTTCATAATTGCAAATCAAGGAATTACGTCTACGAAAGACCCCCGCGGAAACCTTTAAATCGACCGCAAAGTTTGCCGTTTTTCTCTAAGTATGTTCTGTCTTAATTAACAATGTGGAAAAAGTTTTTAACACAAAACGAGCGATCTTAATATGTTTGACGATTAGGATAGTGATAACTTCTGGCAACTTGTCTATGTTTCGCTGTCATTTTTGTAAGTTTTCAGACCCGCTTTTTATTCGCTTACATGGGAGTTAGAGAGAATGTTGATTATCCCGAAACATTGTTGGGGTATTTAGGGCCGGTGAGGCGCTGAAACCCTACGCGCAAGGAAAATTATTGAATGACTTCTGACATGTTGACAATCGAATATTTGTTCGTTACTGAGAAAACAGAAAACAGCTATTTACGCAATTTTTCGAGACTTTCAATTGCTTTTGTGATAGCTGACATGTTTTTAAAAAGTTACAATTTAATTCGTGGACGAAAATGCGACCTGGGAAGCTTTATAGTTCAAACGAATATGTTGGGTAGTTTTGAGAAATCTACAAATTTACTTTATCTGGGTGGAATGATATATCAAATTACGATATGAGCTTTGACTAGAAGATCTACATTTGTATAATCTTAAGTCGCTTTTATGACAAACTTGAAGGATATAAATAAAGCAGTTTTCAACTCGATTTCAACAGCCGGAATGGCATCTTACAGGAGAAGAGAAAATTCGGAGACTGGATCCCACATAATGACTGATTCCCAAGGGAATCGCTTTTAAGTTATTTTTAGACCACTTCTGTTTTCTATAATCCCACGATAATCTAAGAATAAGTCATCCCATTCAGTGCCACGAGGTTTTCTCGCGACACGCGTTTAATTTTGATTTTTCCATAGGGCGTTCTATGGGCGGTAAGAGGCAAGTGAAAGGGAGCACTAAGAGTAATTCTCACGCAAGAGGAGTAACTTCAGGGCGGAGAGAGAGGTTGGGCGATGAAACGAGTGATCCGCTCTCTTTGCACGACATGTGATGCAGAGTTGCACTAGCACGACCACTTGAATCGCGCTCCGGCGCGTTATAAAGTTAGAAAACTTTTCCTCTCGACCAATCAGAAATTTAGCTTCTTTCTACTCCTCTACGAACACGAGTATCGACTTTTGCGCTCTCCTTACGCTCTCTTCGCATTGGCTCTATTTCAGCTTGCCTGAATACTCTCCAAACTATTGAACTATTCAAGTAGTACGTGAGCCATATACGACTGTGACATTATTCCTGGTTGAAGCCTGATACCTCGAGTTTCAAAACAACTGAAGAGAAATTTTCTTGGAACATATTTATTCGGTGTGGATTTATTGTGGTTTTATCCGTCTCGTCATCGTTTCTCTAAAGAAGCATCTAAAAAATTAAAACTCTTGAACGAGTGCAAGCCATAGAAATCTGTAATTGCACATTACAATGTTAAAAAATTGACTATACCTAGATGATAAAGCTAGAAATAAAAATGATGATTAAGAAGATGTAGAAACATAAAAATTACATACAAAGACTTAAAAAGCTTTTGCAAATAAAAAATTCTCAATAGCTTTCTTAAACCTGTTAAAGATTCGAAAGATCGTTCCACAGTTTAGAAGCAGCTGCATGAAAAGTGAATGATTTGTTGATAAGATATATCAACTTACACAGATAGACAGATGAATCGCCGAGTGATCGAAAGTAATTACTGTATTAATGAATAGAGGATGTTTCCAATATCTATCTTTATATTCAAATTATTTGCGTCATGGTTCCAATTAGAGATGCAGTAATTTCTGCCAACCCTTTAAGTTTAAACCTGCGTTATTAACGTATTTGAACCGTAGAAGTCAGATGTAGAGTCCTTTGGCCGCTCAAGCTTCAACGTTCAACTTAAGAATAAGAGGAAAAAAGAAAAAATATTGTGATTACCGATCTCAATCACAATCTAAACAAGGGGGAGAGTCTCTGTTGATTGTCACTTCAATGGTTACATAACACTTCTAGAATTTTAAGAAGGCTTCCTTCTATAATCTGCGTATAAGATCACTTGAAAAAATATTCTTTCTTTTCATTTCAATTAACCTCTTTAGAAAATTTAAAGGTCCGAAACGTTTTAAGTTATAAACCTAAGGTGGTGTTCCAGCCGTAGAGTAAATTTTCGTTCATAATTTTGCTCCGACACTAAAATTGTACGACCTTGCGAAACGAATGTGTCTCCCAGACATTTGAAAACTTGAACTACATGTAGCATAGATTTCCACTTCTCGCAGCGGTTACATCAACGTGGTAACTCGCGTTTTACAAATCAAAGTTCTTCTTTTTCTTTTCTTTTCTTCTTTTTTTTTTTTTTTTTTTTTTTTTTTTACACTTTGAGACAACAAAATCGCAAAGCACGCTACTGAAAATCACAAGTTTTGATTTCGAGCCACACTTTTTCCCTTCAAAATTTCTTTGTTTAGCAATTGAGTTCAGTATCAAAGCTGTTGATAGATAATGGTGATTAAAGCTAAAAAGCAAGACTTTTTTTAGATTAATGTGACAAATACCCTTACAATCGTTTTCTTAGTCATAAAGCAGCGTTGCTACGTCAACAACCAGGATAATGTTAAAACTAAACGAAGAAATGAGAGTGTAGAAACGGTGATCAAAAGGCGGACAAACATACCTCAGCTCTCTCTATTGGACCAAGATAACGTCATTTTGATTGGAGCGAAATAGCATCAACTATTAGGCGTCGGTGCGTCGGTGGGGAGTCGGGGGGAGGGGTGGGTGGGGAGGTGCAAATCCGTATTACAAAGGTTTTATCAACTGGGTTGATGATGCAAATCGTAAAGGGTTTCCGAAGCTGAGCTTTGGAGCGTTAGCCCTTCTCCAGAGCGAATAAAGGAATTGTGGGTTGTGTGTGGTTTATGTGCAGAAAGATGGAGCCGCACTATCAGTGAGATCATGGTAAAGTGAAAAACACAAGAATGAATTAATTGAATGAAAAGTGTATGTTGATAGCGTGGGGGTTTAAAGTGCCGATTTAAAAGATTAATTAAGTTTTTTCTGTTTGAGTTTTTATAGACCACTGACGTGAAACGAGTGGAATCTGGTTCCGAGGTTTACAAAGATCATGACATTAACTCTAAATTTTTCAAGATCTCACCATAGGCCCTTTATGTCAAACCTAGGTCTAAGGATATCGTGAATTTTCAGAACGAATACACCTGGCTCTACATTTCCCATTACCTTAGTTCTGGCAAACTCAAGCAATTTTTGCCTTTCTGAGCAATTTTTCAGCAACATTTACGTTTAGAGCTCATGCCAAGCGCGAGAAAGGAAACGATTTCATTAAAAAAAACTTCGATTTGTGCAAATTTGGCGAGACGAAACTGCTTAATCAGATTTCGCGTGCTGAAGTCTGCTATATGAGTTGTTCAATGTTCCCTTTTATTCAGTTTTCCGTTCCATTCGGTAACACGCGATTTTCTGGTAACCCGACAAATTTACATTTCCAACTCTGAGCATGCTCTGCGATTTTTATCTTTAAAGTTCATTTCTGAGTAAATCTATCGGACTAAAAGTGTTACCTTTCTTTACCAAAAAATAGAGAAATGAAGAGCAAAACAGCTGAGAATGTTATGAATGAACACAAATGCAAATCAAATGTATCTTGGGTTATTGTTTCTTGATCTCATCGGCTATAATGGAATGAAAAAAAGAGGCTTGTGTGAACTCACTTTTGAAAAAAAAGATTCGAAAGTTTTCGTCTCTGCATTTCATCCTCCAACAACACACAGATCGAATGCACGCGAACAACTCGCTCTCTGAGGGACCTGGCACTGGGTTAGCGAATCCCAGCGTTCATTAGGACGCCAGTACCAGTAGCTAAGTCGTAGGATGTGTCATGTTGTGGCTGACAGGAAAGGAAATGAAACAAGCAACTGGATAATGTTATTTTTTTCCTCTAAACACCAGTAGAGGTATTGTGATTACTGCTAATTGTCCCTTTTGTTTCAAGGTGACATTCCTGGCGCTGAAATTTGATTGAGCTTCCTCAATCGACGATTTCGTGAAAAGGTTCGATGTCTCCCTTACCAACTGACGGAGCCGCAGGCCCCTAGAGATTAAAATTGACATCATACCTTTTTCTATTTACCTTTCACCTTCCTTATTAATTCATTGTCATTTTCTCTCTTGAATTGTTTTGTCCCTGTCAGCCATGAGCTCCTCAGGATGAGCCACAGGCAGCCCAAGGTCTCTTTCAGAACCACACAAGGAACACAATTTGCATATCGATTTATAAGGATTTGTATGGGATTTTCTACAAGATATCCATAGAGATAGTTAAAAGTGAAAATATTAAATAAAAATAGCTTACCTAGTTCGAT